AAACAATTACTCCCCTATAATAATAACAATAAACAAAAATAGGACCGATTTATAAAACACAAGTATATTATTTTATGAAATTTAAGTTATGTTTAATTGACAAAGTTTAGAGGGTATGTTATCATAATTATTTGTTACCGGAGTGATTACACAATGTTCATAACATAGATCTAAAATTTGACAACAATGGGTCCAGTAGTTTCGAAGATTCTCTGTTAATAAAAATCGACACAGAAGACAGATAGATGGAAACGGGAGACCTATTTTTTCGTACTTTAACCTTTAACAGTCATGAAACGTGGAAAAACCATGAAAGTAGTTAGTCGCCCGGTGGACCCTATACCTCTAGCGTACGTTCGGGAAATAAAAATGGAAATATCGTAGATTGAAGCTGGAACTTTTTTCACATTCGAAACTAACGCTTTACCATACATTTCTTAAATATGTCATGTAAACTTTAATGTTGTTATATTTACAGAGTGATTCTTTTTACGTTTGTATGTGTAAGGTTAGAAACAAATGAACAGACGAATTTTGATTAAGTGATATTCTTAGGGCCGGTTGCATAAACGCAAATCAAATTTAATCTCTGATTAACTCCATAGTAACGATTGTTATTATCATAGTTACAATTGTTCTTAATCAGAGATTAAATTTGATTTGCGTTTATGCAACCGGCCCTTAAAGTATGTCTAAAACTTTATAGTATCTAATCCTTAATCAGTAATTACTAATAATAATCAGTCTATCATTCAGATTATACAGGGCTACGATGAAAAACCTGTCTTAAAATGAATAGATGAATCTGCTAGATTACCGTAAAAATAATTTAAAAAATTCCAACACCTACAATTAAAAAAAATCAGAACGAAAAATTTCATATAATGTTATCAATGTTATCACGTTGAAAAAAATACGACAGTTAGTAGCTTTTCAGTTAAATGGAAAAACATATTTGAAGTGCATTAAGCATTACATAATGAACGTCAGCTGATTGAACAAGTCAAAAATGAAGAAGTAATGTCAAATTAAAATCACAGTGATGGGTGTCACAGAACGTTCACAAGAAAAACATTAAACATAACTTTTGAGGAGAACCGTCAATGATATTTCACAAAGATTTCTAATAAGCAGACAAAAGTATTTATATGTAAAAAATGCATATACGAAATACACACCTAAGTTTTCTTTAGTATATAAGTATTTGTATTTCTTAAATTTTAGTTTTTCGTTTTTCCTCCAACAAACCGTACATGATAGCAAAAAATTAAGTTCATATTCGTAATTAGCAATACACCAAATGTGCAAAACAGTTGTTAAAACAAAAACAGGTTTTCAACATTTTAAATTTTGCTGTAGTACTTCTCTGGTTGATGCTTGAATGGTAAGAACATTGCTTATATTTACTTAATTCCGTAACAAAACTACATATTATGGAAGGCTAAAACTGTAATAGGTGATTTGATCTTTTGGATAGCTATTTACTTATATTTCTATTTAACACATTTTTTATTCATTAATTCATCGTTTATCCAAAAAATACTGAAGCCACAAGGGGTACAAATTCGCCAACGTATCTTAAATAATTCAAAAACGTCGACAAGTTACACTGAAAGGACAATAAAAATCACAATCAACAAAGACAGCCATGAATTTTTGATGGTTTGTCTTTGAATGTTGCATTTTCAACTTAAACTCAACAAAATTTCTATCAATGACAAACCTTCAAAAGTCTGCATTTGCATTTGATCGGGTTTTTTATTGCCCTCTCAATAGTAAACCAACTTTTATTCGTAATGTTCTTAGAGAAATTTCAATGTTTGCTGGCGAAAACAAAACACTAATATAAGTCAGAAAATAGAATTGTCAGTGTCAATTTTTTCAAAGACGTGCGTCAGTCTCTGAAAAAAGAAAATGTCACATATTGGCACACAAAGTGATACACGTTCAAGCTCGGAAAATATAGTCGCCACCAGAAAATCTAGGACGCAATTTTTCTGTCATTTTGAAGATTTTGATGTTGTCTAAGAGAATAAGATTGCAGTCCAGTTGTTTCGGAGATTATCTGTCTTATCGATACAGATAACAGACAACAGACAAACGAAAGCAAGAGGCCTATTTTTTCATACTCTCGGGGTCATGAAACTTCGAATATGAAAACAACCCGATGGACTCCATTATAATAATTCCTTAGCTTACGCTCATTAAGTAAAAATAAAAGAATAGCAACGGGGCGGATGATGTATTATACTTTTAGATAAACCTTACATCCATGTAGTTACAGTAGTTAAAAGCATAGGAGTGATAGTCCCTGAAAGAGGTTTTTGGGCAAGACTTCTAAGAACCCAAGGTTAATTGTCGTCCATGCTGGATGACGGAGGAGAAATGTATTTTATACCAAATGCCCTAAATATTAAGTCTGAGAGAAAACTACAACAATGACATGAACTTCGAAAATTACGGCAAATGTATAAATTAATTCCCAAATTGGTGCCCAACTACGTGACAGCAATTGATAATGCATCTTACCACAGTGTATGTATAGCTACACAGCGCTCCCACATCTAGTTCAAGAAAGTTGGAATTATTGATAAATTGGCTTATAGAAACAAATATTCCGTTTGGTGTGTGGAGTTTCAAAATTAAACTTTATTAAATTTTGGCAGAAAAAGAATAAAGATTAATGAAATTTAAAAGTTGAATAATGAGCGTCAACTGGGAGTAAGAGTTCCAAAGAGTAGGTCGTAGAATCTTATGTCAAATTTTGAAATTTTTCATTTGTATCAATCAAAAATGAAGCAATTTAACGAGCAAACAAAACAAATAATTTTAAATGTGTTAGACTATCTTGGTAGAAACCAAGATGTTTTGAAATTTAAGAAAAAATGGAAGACAGAACTGGTCCCAGAAATGTTGAAAATTTTGGAAAGAGCTGTCTACAGGCTACAAAAAGTTCTAGTTTTAAGTGACTTGAATACAAGAAAAATATGTCTTCTCGAATTAGTTACATAAAGACAAAAGTGAATCCTGTAGATTTAATGTCAATCCGGGAGATTATCTATAAAATGCTTGTTTCTAAAGAATACATTACTATTAAAATGCTGCACGATCGAGTAATGGAAGAGATTCCCAATTTTAACGTTGATCCTAAATCGTTAACCAACTGGATAAGGAAAATTGGTTTCAAATTTAAGAAAAATAGTAACAGATTATTTCTGATTTAACGACCTTCAGTTAAATTAGAAAGAACAAAATTTTTAGGTGAATGTCACCAACACAAAGGGAAAAAATTATATGAACCTCTTTTTCTTAATGAAACATGGGTATTTAGTAAGGGTAGCATATGCAAAAAGACATGACAAAACGGTTCAGTAAACACTGCTATTGCAAAAACTGGAGAAGGATGCAGATACATTGTGGTTCACGTTGGAAATAAAAACGGTTTTATTGAAGGAGCCTCTTTAATTTTTAAAGTTAATAGCAAATCTGGAGACTACCATGATAACATGAATCAGGAAAATTTTGAAAAATGGTTCAAAGAATAGTTGATACCGGGTTTGCGGGAACCTTCTCTTATTGCGATAGATAACGCAAGTTATCATAGTAGACTTCATACTTCATAGGTATTCATATATTATAATAAAACTTTATTTATAGGAAGCAATTTCTCGAAAAAGTTGGATAGCATATTTAAATAAAAATGGGATTGATTATCTACCTAAGGCCATAAAAGATCAAATCTGGGGAATATTGGCTAACAAATAACCCCAAAAACGTTATCATTTAGATTTATACGCCCAACATCATGGGCATTGGGTATTGAGGCTGCCACCTTACCACTGTCACTTCAACGTTATTGAAATGTCAAGGTCGGAAGTTAAAACAAATTATGATAAGATCATTCCAAGAACCGGCTTTTCCCCTAATGATGTTTGTGCAACTTGGCAAAATATGATTGATCAAGTTCCGGCTGTGCATTTGGAACAATTACATTAAACATACTTATAAAATAATAAATTGTGCACGGGAAAATGAAAAAATTTTAAATATTTCAGAACAGAATGAAATTATTATTAATATTAATAATTCGGATGATAGGGAGAGTAGAAGTGAGGATGATAACAGTAGCGTTGAAGATTCAGATGTCGATATGTTGTAACTTGAAACTTTTTCTTAAGAAAGCTTCGGTTTTTGGTTTTTTAATGAAATTAAATTAATAAATTATGTAATTAAATGCTTCATTTTATAAAAAAGAAAAGTCAAAATTTACCATTTTTTTAGTTAATGGGTTTCACATAATAGCAGAATGTAATAGTTTTTGATGGTGTACTGTATTCATTCAAAATAAAGGCGCATGAAATATAACAATTGGAAACAGAGGACGTACGCTACTAACTCTCTCTCACCTTAAAAATTCTATTTACAAAAAATGTCTCTTATTGACTTCTTTTTTGGTACCTGTACCTTTCAATAATTGCGAATTTGGAATTTAAATTTATCCACAGCAACATATTCATAACATATAAGAAACCACCTCCGAAAAGTTGCCAAAAAATGTCAGATTGTAAGTGTTTTTGACTACGAGTATTTCCACAACTAGATACTGAATCTCATTAATAGAATTTTAAAACTGACTAAATTTTTGACAGCACATTGGAATTTATTACGTTTCATTTTTGATAATTTCTTAAAACCCCTATAAATTATTTCCATTTACGACGTATATTGAAAAAAATGACACAGACACTTCAGTTTTGTGACGTTCATCAGTGTTTCGTTTTGCCACCAAAAATGTGAAAAAGTCTCCTGACATTTGTAAAGTGACGAAAATGCGAAAACAACTCTTGGGACGTTGGACACAGTCAGTTTTGGCCTCCTAGTTTTCTGTTTTAACTAGCCTGGGAATTTTTAAATCTAGTTCTGCTGCCACTATGACGTTACGTTATTACGTAAAGCGTTATCGCGGCGTCGCGTTGTATAAGTTTCACTTATCTTCATTGATTATGCGGGCCACATAGTGGGGAGCCGTACAGTATATCGGTCGCACCACGCTAGCTCACGAGTGTACACGTTGTGTGCTGCATTAGATAACTCGCTTTGACTTTGACAGAGGTTATTAAAGTCACTAGCGTTAACAAAACATGGCATTTAACCCTAATGGTAAGAATATTTATTTTGAACTTGATTGCTACTCAAGAATTTTTGCCTTAGTAAATAACAGTTATACAATAATTATGCAATACATTCTTCCACAGGTGCTTGTAGAACAATCAGTTTCACAGCTTTACTCTGTAAAATCTTGTTTCAGAGCATCAGCATCTACGCTACAACCCTTTAAAGGGTGAATGGGTATTAGTCTCGCCACATCGGGCCCTTCGGCCATGGAGCGGCCAAGTTGAACAAGCGCCCGTCGAAGTAGTACCAGAATTTGATCCAAACAATCCCTTGTGCCCTGGAGTAAAACGTGGTTCTGGAATAGTAACTCCTCAGTACCAATCTACGTACGTTTTTACTAATGACTTCCCTTCGCTTCTAGAAGAAGGTCCCGAACCCTCAGACAATAAAGACCCCTTGTTTCAAGTACAAGCTGCGAAAGGTACTTGTCGAGTGATTTGTTATCATCCACGATCCAATGTTTATTTCACATCAATGTCATTGACTGAAGTGATCGCGATAATAGACGAATGGATAAAACAAACTCAAGAATTAGGAAAAAAATATGTCTGGGTACAAGTTTTTGAAAATCGAGGAGCGATAATGGGTTGTTCAAATCCTCATCCTCATTGTCAAATCTGGGCATCGAATTTTATGCCCAATGACGGCCATTTAGAAGAACAACATCAAAAAGAATATTTTGAAAAGTACGGTCGACCGTTGCTACAAGATTATGTTAAACGAGAATTAGAAAAAAAAGAGAGAATTGTATATGAAAATAAGGAGTGGTTAATCGTGGTGCCTTACTGGGCCGTTTGGCCTTACGAAACTATGGTGTTACCAAAACGGCAAGTTCAGAGATTTATGGATTTAGACAAAGCACAAAAAGAAACTCTTGCTAAAGCATTACAAGTCATTGTTGCAAAGTACGACAATGTTTTCAAATGTAACTTTCCGTATTCTATGGGTTGGCACGGAGCGCCAACCGGAAACAGAGTTAATGAATCGATTCCGTACTGGACGTTCCACGGACATTATTATCCACCACTTTTGAGGTCCGCTACGGTTAAGAAATTTATGGTTGGTTATGAAATGCTGGCCCAGAATCAAAGAGACATAACACCAGAAAGTGCGGCTTCTGTTGTCAGACAGCAATCAGATACGAGATTTTCAAACGAAAAATAGCGAAACTAACGATGTCATAAGTTTGAAAAAGAAAATACTTTGACAAAATATATGTTTTTTTATCTGTTAATACCTCAAAACACTTAGTTAAATCAAAATTTGACTATTTTTTTTTAATCTATAGCACTTCGAGGATTTTGAAAATCTTATAAAAAAAAATCCTAGAGAAAAGAAAACCATAAAAAGATAAATACATATTTCAAGTTTTGTTTGCTCTTCAAAACTGTCTTCCGAAATTTCCAAAATTAAACTTCTTTGGTAAAACTTAAACAAATTTTAATAGCGGCTGAAATAAAAATAAATTATAATACACTCCCAAAATACTTACAATATCGTCTTTAGTTCTTCAGTTTTCTGAATTTAAGCAGTTATGATTTTGCATTCGGTACTACTGTTAACGTTTAGTTTGTTTACTAAAAGTAAACTGTGACACGTTCACTTCAATACATATTTTAAGAGGAGGTTTTACCCACACGGAAAGTAGCCCGTGCAATGGGTTATGATTTTTCGAATCACTGATTTATTATTGCTTAAATGTCGAAATGTCGCTACGCGATCTCGGTTTTAGACTCATAGATTTATTACTTCTTTAATTCTTTTTCACGACTTGACTTTGAGCGTTAAAGGAAAGTATGTCTAGATTTTATGAATTTTATTTACTCTACTACTAAATAATACTAATATAAAAATCCACTACAAAGAATTAGATAGTGATGTGTTGGATTCCATGTTTAGTTGAAGGCTGCTGTGATAATGCTACTAATGAAAAACCGGTTATTGCTACATTTTATCAGTTTCTTAAAGATTTTGAAAGAAAATCAACTTATATATATATATATATTTTTTTTTAAATGATAATATTATCTTATCTGAAAAATCATCATTTATATACAGGGTGTCCCAGAATTCGCGCCATTCCCGTGAATGACATGTTCCCTGTCCCGAACTGTGCCGTAATTCGCAAAAAGAATTGTCCAGGCTTTAACCGTGTGAGAACTGGAAGGCGATTAAGTTGACCAATAGAGAGGCTGCTTTTATATCAGAACGTTTCTATGTTCAAAGTTACCTATGCCAAGAACAAAAAATCGGGTAATACTAAAGTTGAATGTATTTTTTCCGAATCCCCCTCCGTCAACAAAAGGAAACAGAAGTGTGGTTATAAATTTAATCATTTTGACAATTGTTTGTCATAAACTGTCACGAAGTTCATCACTGACCTGAAGAGATGCTTCTGCGCCAAAGATGACTGATTAATGTACACAGAGACGTCAAGGTTTATTTTAAGGCAAGTAGCATGGGACAGAAGTTATTTCTGCTGCCATTCTAGTTAAATTGTGTTTAACTGGGCTGTACATGTTATAAGAGAAGCTGTTTCATTTCATCGTAGGCAAATAATACATTTATTACTATTCTACATAGTGTAGATACCGAAGAGCAGAATGCGCCGTGTAAAATCAGGATTTAGTTCATTTTGTCGCAGTAACCATTGAGTAAAATGTACTCGTCGCGGGTAGTCGGTTGGTCGCAGATGCTGCACTCTCGTGTAATGGTAAGGATGCAGTCTTCTCTCTTGAAGGATACGATGAGTGGTCGATCTTGAACATCCACTCATTTGCGCTACGTAGAGGACACTTCTCCTAGGATCCGCTTCCATGTTTTCTAACACTTGCTCTTCAGCACCTACACGTACATTCCGTGGAGCCCCAGCACGGCCTTTCCGACTAGGTTGAAAAGATCCATCTTCTCTTGCTCGATGTAACAATCGGTGAAACACATGTTGGTCTGGGTGCCGACGATTATTCACGGGGCTCTAAGAAAATGACTTCTATACCTGCTCTTCGGTAGCTACTCTATGTAGAATAGTAATAAATGTATTATTTGCCTACGATGAAATGAAACAGCTTCTCTTATGACATGTACAGCCCAGTTAAACACAATTTGACTAGAATGGCAGCAGAAATAACTTCTGTCCCATGCTACTTGCCTTAAAGTAAACCTTGACGTCTCTGTGTACATTAATCAGTCATCTTTGGCGCAGAAGCGTCTCTTCAGGTCAGTGATAAACTTCGTGACAGTTTATGACAAACAATTGTCAAAATGATTAAATTTATAACCACACTTCTGTTTCCTTTTGTTGACGGAGGGGGATTTGGAAAAAATTCATTCAACTTTAGTATTACCCGATTTTTTGTTCTTGGCATTGGTAACTTTGAACATAGAAACGTTCGGATATAAAAGCAGCCTCTCTATTGGTCAACTTAATCGCCTTCCAGTTCTCACACGGTTAAAGCCTGGACAATTCTTTTTGCGAATTACGGCACAGTTCGGGACAGGGAACATGTCATTCACGGGAATGGCGCGAATTCTGGGACACCCTGTATATCAATTAATGAATTTTAACTAAACTTTCGCGAAAAATATTAAATAAGCAACCACATTAACGAATAATGGTAATTTGATAATTTGTTAATGGAATGATATAAAATAACTACAAATATTATATTAGAGTCTCACCCACAAAGAAGAACTATTATATATAAATATAAATTCAATATGCATCATGTACTGAGCCAACCAATAATTTCTATAGTATCGTCTATTTATAGTGCTCCAAATATTTTATTTTCAGTAACCTAAAATTTCAATGACCTATTTCTTATCTAAGCATAATGTTCACAAATGACTGGATTTTTTATTTTACAATAGAATTATTTAATTAAAAAAAATGCAACAATTTGTGCAAACAATAATTCCCGCGCTCTCTAAAAATACAACAAAAAAGTGAAAACATTTATTTTGGTCATTTTACTGTACCCATGACATTGATCGGCTGTATCCATACAAGTTACAGCGTCACTGTAACATATGTGAGGCTTCTTATTAAATGCAACGGAATAATAATGGTAATCAAGTGAAATTTAATTTGTATGAGCCAAAGAAAGGGCTGCTATTTGCCGGAGAAGCGAACACCGGTTCACCGTGTGGCACACAAATATACTTCCGCTAAAGGTGGTCATATACATGTTCTGATGTCACTTTTTACTTCCCGAGCGTAAGCAAAGGAAGTATTGTAATCGAGTCCGTCGGCCGACTCTCTACTTTTACGTTTTCTCGATCTTTCATGACCCCTAGAAGACGAAGAAATAGGTCTCCCATTTCCGTCTGTCTGTCCGTCTGTCCGTCTGTCCGTCTGTCTGCCGTCCCGGATTTTTATTAGACAGATAATCTCCGAAAGTACTGGACCGATTGTTGTGAAATTTTGTAGTTATATTATGAATATCATGTAGATGGTAAAACGCTAACCAAAATTTGTCTAATCATCCCCACCACTAATGTGATGACGTCACTTCAAAATTGTACATAGTAAATGGGTTTTCAATTGTATAAAATAACATAGTCCTACACATGTAGTTTACAACTCCGAATCGACTTTTCACCCGAAACGTCCAGATTTTTGGAAAAAAAATCAAAATTATAAAACAACATTTTGAAATTTAATTTTTAATCTGCTAATCCGAATGTTTTGAAATGTTGCAGATGTTTTAAGGCTATAAAGAGCATCATAAATCTTTACTCAAAATATATTTGGTTATCCCCTCCAAAAACTTGATGACGTCAGCTCAAAAGTTTGCCAAATAAATCCTATGTAAAATGTACAAAATATGATGAGTCTGTGCTTGTGATATATCGCTTCATTCATATTTTTTGGATTTGCATATACAGGGTGACTCAAAAAAATTAATGAATGCGTACATTTATTTTACTGATTTACTCAGGAACTACAAAACCGAATGCTTTGAAATCTTGAAGGTGTTTTAAAGTTATCATAAGCATGGTAAGTTTTTGATCAAAATGTATTTGCTCATCCCCCCTAAAAAATTTATGACGTCAGCACAAAATTTTGCCGAATAAATCCTATCTAAAATGTACAAAATATGATGAGTCTTTTCCTGTGATTTATCATTCCATTCATAGTTTTTGGATTTGCATATACAGGGTGACCCAAAAAAATTAATGAATGGGTAAATGTATTTTATTGATTTAATCAGGAACTCCAGAATCGAATGTTTTGAAATCTTGCAAATGTTTTAAGGTTATAAAGAGCATAATAAATTTTTAGTCAAAATATATTTGGTTATCATCTACAAAAAACTGATGACGTCAGCTCAAAAGTTTGCCGAATAAATCCTATCTAGAATATACAAAATATGATGAGTCTGTACTTGTAATTTATCATTCTATTCATATTTTTTGAATTTGCATATACCGGGTGACTCAAAAAAAATAATGAAATCTACTGCGAAAAAAAAAACATAATATACATGCAGTCGTCACGTTTCCGACAGCGAGGGAAGTACTGTCTAAACTCTTTAGACCAATTTTTAAATCTTTACTATCTAAATCTAATCTTATTTAAGTTTTAGAACATAACATAGTCCCACAGGTGTGGTTTATGAATCCGTTTTATTTTTTTACCCTAGACATCCATATTTAAAAAAAAAACAAAAACAAAACATTTTACAATTTAACCTGCAAAATAAATGCTCTCAAATCAATGCAAATGTTTTAAGGCTAGCATAAACATGCTAGATAAATCTTTCATCAAAATTTATCCACGCTCCTAAAAAATTGGTGACGTCGTCTCAAAATTTTCTAAATGTGCAAATTGTCTTGTCAATTTTTATTATAATCAGTTATAGTTTATAGTCATGGATAAAAATATGGATGTATTATCAAACAAGAGACTAAAGAAATGATAATATAAATGTTTAGCAATATTTCTTACATCAGTAAAATTTTGAGATGACGTCGTAACATTTTGATGGAGAATGAACAAACAAGTTTTAGTTAGCATGTTACCATGTACACTTATAATTTTATAGTAATCTCTCCAGTGGTTTCGAAGATACTTGTCTCCTAAAATTATTATTAACACATATACGGAAACAGAACATCTCTATTTTTCATATTCCAAGAGCTATGTAATGTTGCGAAAACATGAAATTAGCTATTCGTCAAATGAAACCTGCTTTTCTAGCTTACACTCA